ATTAAAAAATTAAGTTATTTGAAAGGTTTAGAAATGTGATAATAACATTTTGACACCCACCAGGTTCGAACACGCGTTTCCATAGTGATGGGTAAAGTGACAAACCAGTCCAGCCACCACACTTGCCTTGTTAAATCATCACACCATATTATATTTATTCATATGCCGTTAAACCGGCGTTTTGAACGGTTAAACCGGTCAAACCGAGAACCGGAGGTCAAAACGGTTTGACCTCCGGGTCGGTTTTCAAAACATTGCTTCAAACCCAAAACCCTAACCCCAATTAAAAAAAAATAAAAATAAAAATAAATAAATAAAAAGGAAACAGAACGTCCCCCCTGCTGCAATGCCCTGCACGCCCTTTTTTTGCGTCCCTCTTTTGCTACAGCCCGATCCTGCAGCGCTCTGCCCCCCCTGCTTGCTGCGAACTGACTCTGCGCCCGTCCCCTGCAACCCGCTCTGCGCTTGCTCTGCCCATCCGTCACTCCAGAAGCCCTGTACAAGAGACAAAAAAAAAAAAAAAGCTTTCGGTCCTTTGCTTTCCAGCCTGCAGAAATCAGCAGCTGTCGAGAGGTTAAAGGGTTCAAATTTTGGCGTTTTGAGGATCAACGGTGGAGAAGACAAGGCCGGATCGGAAGGCTAGGAAGAGGAGGGTTTTTGCCTTTGCTTTTGCTTGGGTATAAATATGGGTTTTTAGGTTAGAAATGGAGGGGTTCTTTTGGTTTGGATGTGGTGTTGACGGCGGAGAAAAGGAGGGATTTTTCTGCTAGAAGGAGACTGTTTTGTGAAAGGAGATTGTGGACTTCATCTCATTGTTAGGTATAGCTCTCAACGGGGGATTCTTTTTTAGGAAAATGGTGAAGGAGATGGTGGAAGCTTGATCCCGTGGGTGGGATTCTTTCTATCAGATCCAGATCTGTTTTTCTTTTAAAGATCTGCCGTGCTTGTTTTTATTTTTCTGTGGGTGTTTGCTTTTCTTTTTTAGATCTGATGTTAAGCTTGTATATTTGTCATTGGAAAATTGAATGAAAAGTAAAAAAAATTGTCCAGTTCATTTTGCCTAATGAATGTGCTTTTTTTCTTTTGATGGATGTGTTTTTTT